ACTCCTAATCACTGACCCCAAATTCCTAATCCCAACCCTAAACAATGCAGCAGGAAGGAAATTCTGACATGTTACCAAATGGATGAATCTGGAGTCATTTATGCATTAGTGAAATAAACCAGCCACAAAACTACAAATGTCGTGTTGTCCTGGAAACGCCAACTCATAGGAGCGGAAGTACAGCACAGGCTGGAGATCCCGATGTGGAGTGTCCTGCACCAGAGGTGCTTTGAAGTATGAGTTTGCTTTTTGGTTTTGGAATATTTGCATGTACATAATGACGTGTCTTGGAGATGAGCTCCCAGTCTAAACACAAAATCGCCTCTATCTGACCCACACTTTGCACACAGAGCCGAAGATAATTCTGTGCAATGCTTTTGTGTTGCAGCATTCTGACTGCCACCTGGCCCATGAGGTCAGGTGTGGACTTTTCCACTTTTGGGCATTGGGACATTTCAGATTTTTGGATGAGGAACACTCAACCTGAAGTGACTTTCAGAGGCTGAGGAAAGAGGGGATTTGAAAGTTGGTGTTCCTCTTTTGTTTCTCTTTTTAAAATTTATTTTCTTTTATTTATTACTATTATTAACTTTTCCATAGGGCCTGCATGGTCACCAGAAGGAGACAGAGAGAAAGACAGCAAGCAAGTTGCCAGGTCTAGGACTTGAACCGCGGTTGGCCATGTGGGATTCCAGTGCTTTAACCACCATGCCACCAACTGGACACCGAAGTTGGCATTCTACAGGTACTGAGTTCAACTTGGGGAAGATAAAAACCTACCTGAAGATGGATGGCTACACAATCTTGTACACACAGTTGGTCCCAGAGTACTATGCACATAGAAATTGTGCCTGCAAAGCTGCAGTAGCCCACAGGGATTGCCACCACTGGGAAGAGTGGAGGACATGGGGGAGACCCAGATTCTGGGCCTGAACTGGCCCACTCACACCAGGTGCAGCCTTGTACACCTGGAGTCATAGCTCACTGGGAGCCTGGGCCAAGGGGATCGCAACACAGCAAGACCATGTCAAAGATACATCTCCTTGCCACTCTCCCTTTCTCTGTCTCTCTCTCTCTTTTCTCTCATTAAAAAAGGTTCAGCACCAACCACAGTAGCACACACTGGACAGCGCTGCTTGGCCACATGGGAGGCCTGAGTTCCCGAGTTCAGGCTCCAGTCCACCCTGAAAGGTCAGTGTGATGGTACACAACTGTAGTCTCAGCTGCTTGAAGTTGAAATGGAGGGATCACAACGCAGTGACACCATGTTGAACACACCACAGACACATCACCACAGACAAACACAGATTTCATTGGTAAATACTCTCATGTCTATTTCATCAGACATCAAAAGAGTGAAGGACTCGTGCATGTCATGACACAGACAAACCACAGAAATGACAGAAGTGAATGAGTCAGGGCACCAAAGGCCACACAGTGTGTGAGCCCATGTATGTGGACCTTCCAGGACAGGTGGGTCCAGAGACAGAAAGCAGATGCACAGTGGACAGCGCTGAGGTGGGGAAGTGACTCCTTGAGGTTGCCGAGTTTCCTTTCAGGTCATCAGGATGCTCCCAAGTCCACAGACGGTTGCCCCATGGTGCTGATGTGGTCAACTCTGTGGACTTGTGTCCTTACAGAAGGTTAGCCTGGTGACAGTTATGTCATGAGAATTTACATATGAAACAAACAAAAGGTGCAGGCCATCAGGGCTGATGCAGGACGAGGCTCACTGGCTGACTGTAGCAAGGACTCGTTCGGCCTGTCCTTCAGGATGGATCACATGCAGGGTGAGTGCACAACAGAAGTGCTGAGTGCACAGGCAGACTGTGTCCTGCATGTCAGTCACCAGGGTGACCCCCAACACGGCCACCTAAGGTTTTATACCAGATCTTGATATATTCTGTTTTGGCTAAATTAACAACTTTTTGTTTATGAGAGGATTTTGCTATAGGATCCAGGTGCTTGCTGGAGAGACAGAAAATGAGAAATCAACCCCAGAGCGATGGCCATGTGGCCATCCCTTCTTCTCCATTCTCCTCTTGAAATTCTGGGCATGCACACACATGTGTGGGGTGTGAGTTTTAAGCCACTGGGTCTGGGACT